TCGAACCCTAACAAGGGATTTCCAGTGGGCTTGAGCCTCTCTGGTTTAATCTCGAGCCTATCAAATGTGTCCCTCGGCATGACATTCGCACTGCTCCCAGGATCGATCAGAACTCTGCGCACCAAGCAGTCCGCCACTGTTAAACTGACTACCAACGGGTCTTCATGGGGCAGTTGAACACGCTGCAGGTCTGTCCAGTCGAACTTTATCTGCATCGACGGGCTCTGCTGGTGTAGAGTATTCACACTGCTGACCCTTTTCTTCATCTGCGCCTGCCGCAGGTGCGCCCGGAGTAGCTCATCTGACTCTTCACTAGGCTCGGGTCGATCATGGGTAGCATTGATTTTACGAACTGGTTGTGAATTGTGGGAGCTTTGTTTATGACTCCTTTTTATTTGTTCCACCGGTCGATTCTGCTCTATCGCCGAGCCTTGAACATAACTCGCGAACTCCCCTCTAGCTATCAACATCTCCACCTGCCTCCTCAGGTTCCTGCATTCGTTAGTCTGATGACCGAAATCGGAATGGAAAGCACAATGTTTAGTTTGATCCCTCTGTTCGAGGGGTTGCCTAATTGGCAGTGGTGGATGAAACTTATCTTTGTTCTCCTGATACAGCCTCGCCAGAGTGACCTTCAGCGGAGTAATCAGCTCTTCCTCCCTGGACCTTTTTTCTGCCTTCCAAGAGGTCTGACGTTGCGGCTGAGCCTGCTTCTGCCTGATCTTTGCCTTGGACTTTTCCTCGGTCGACACGAGCGACGCTGTCCGAGCATTAGCTGCCTCCTCTTCTTCTAGGCGCACAAAGCCATCGGCTCTTTCATTGAGTTCATCCATAGTAGTCGGCGTGTTCACTACCAGACTGGTGTGAAACGGAGTTCCATGTGTCATGGCTAACTTGAAGGCTTGAACTGCTGTAGAAGGGTGGCATTCGATCACCATACTCTTAGTGAGATTAAACCTGGTAAGAAAAGCCTGGAGACGTTCATCTTTGTGCTGCCTCATCGTGAATAGGCTCGAGATGTCCTTCGGCCGGCGCTTGTTCCCATAGTACTGGCTTATGAACCGATCGCACAGGTTTCTGAAGCTACCAATGGAGCTCCTAGGCAAGTTTTTGAACCAGCTGAGCGCCGGTCCGGCCAGGCTTGTAGGGAAACATTTGCACATTAAAGAGTCGTTTTCCGTATTCAGGGCCATTTTCAACTGGATATGGTACACATGATCGATCGGATCGGTTGTTCCGTCAAACAGAATAAAGACTGGCATAGCAAACTTCCTTGGATGCGGGGCATTCAAGATCTCGTCGGTGAATGGTGAATCAACCGTCCGAGCTGCGGATCGGAGAGCTTCATTCTCTCTCTGGAGTCCAGCGGTAGCTCTGTGAGTTACGGTTCTGCCCTCCGAACCGCGATGAGTGATAGTAGCCATGGAGGGCCGGTAAGACGGATCGAACGACCGTTCCTCTATGAACTCTCTTTGCCAAGGCGACGCTACTCGACGGCGATCAACCTCTATCACTTCCTCTCGGTCGAATCTTTCCCGATGCGGATCGAAGGTTATGGCTTCATTCCGTCTAATCTGCTCATGTTGCGGATCAACGTGAGTCGATTCTTCGTGGTCCTCAACTCGACGAACATTTGGCGGCAAATTGTCCATCATCCTTTCATCACGGTGGTGAGCTGACTGATTGTTCTCGTCCTGTTCGCCTTGACGCGCGATATTAGATTGAACACCTCCTTCACCGACCGGAAGTGGATGCGAAACCGCAGGTATTTGCCGATGTTGCATTCCAGCTTTCAATTCTGCATTCTCCTTTTTGAGAGCCTCAATCAAGTTCATCAACTCCTCAAGCTTTGTTTGCTGGACAGCCTCCATCGGATTGGAGCTTTCACCTATCATTATTCCTGAACGGAGTAAAGGCATTAATCTCAAGTTCGCGAGTAGATCCGAGCTTCGTGAGTGGGAATTTTTCAGATCTGGTTTCGAATTCTCCGAATTATGCTCACCGTTTACGAGATCTGAATTGTCTGAACTCTAAATCCGTCAGATCCCGCCACAATCGAACAACTCGTTGTTGCGTATATCTGAAGCCACTTCTGCCAAAGCTTCAAGAATTGTAATTCCTCCAGAGTAGGTCACAATCGCTCAGATCTGGATCCAAATCCCAAAGATCGAGTCTCGATCAACCGAATTGGTCTGAATCCACTCGATATTCCTCATTGATCAACCAAACTTCCATGCGCTTCCCACAGACGGCACCAATTGAAGATGCAAGAAATTCATTCCCTCTTTCTCTCTCTAGAATTCTTACACTTCAACCAAAAGATCCCCCCCTTCTTTTCATTCCTTCCCCTCTTTATAGATATTTACAAGATATTTACAAATATTGACGGATTGCTGGATCTGGGCCTGTTCCTCCATAAGTCCTGGTCACCTTTGATGGGCTTATTCGCGTTCGGCCCATATGGCAGTGTCTTTTTATGGGCCGACCCAGCTGTACGGACCGGATGTCGTGCTTGCAAGTCAGATCCGGCCCATGTCGTCCTGGGCCTCCTCATCTACGCTTTTGTTTATCTTAAAATGAAGTTGTTATTCAACTTTTGAAGTAGAGTATCTCATACGTTACAGCCTATAGCTATGAGAAATCATGGGTCTAAAGCTTCAAGAATTAAGTAATAGACGATTGCTGGGCTGAAAAGGAACCAAGCTAATTGGAAGAGGGTTCTATGTTTGTATAGGACCATCGTGGGGATTCTCTATGGGGCACTTGTATTTTGTCTATAGTAATTACGACATACAGGGATTTCTTTTGTCCGCGTAGCAATATAGCATAACATAGGATGGGACCCTTAATCTGATGGAAGCACATGAGATCTGATATACCATTTGCAGTTCTTTGTTTATTTCAGTTTTCCATATAATCATGTAGGTGATTGGGCATCCATGTGTGTGCATATTTTATAATTGATATTTCCAGTTTCGGTTGAATGAGAAGTAGTAACCTTATTAAGGTCTTAAGGTTTCTCCTTTTTCATTATATTATATGTTAAATGTTATTGATTATGTGTCTAAACTAAAATATTTTGAACTGAAAATATTGAGTTTTGCCAACAAGTAGTTGAATTATTGCACCTACTCAAGAAATTGAATTCCCTACTGAGGAATTTCTGTTGGTTTAGTCTTCTTTTGAGCTTTAAGTACTATTAGCAAATAGAGGATCCTGGATCATTTTTTAGTGGGTTTTTATTATTTATTTTTTATGACATGGTTATGCATTGTGGATACTCTCTAGTTTGTAGAATTTTCTCTTACTACCTCTTTTTTTGTTCACCAAATTAATCTTGGTATTTTTGTGGCAATAATCATACTAGTTGTTGGGTGTTATAGTGTGATTACTCTGCTTGCTTGCTGTTACTTTATTTATTACAGGCCTTAAGAAACTTAACTTAGATTTCTAAGGTTATAGACGAGCATTTCTTCTTGAGGTCCTAGTGGAGGAATTTCCTCACACTTCTTGGTTTTTTTTTTCATCATTATGTTATGGAATTCAATCTAGGCATGCTGCAATTTCTCATAGTGAAGGAATTTCCTCACACTTCTTGGTTTTTTTTCGTCATTATGTTCTGGAATTCAATCTAGGCATGCGCTGCGATTTCTCATAGTGAAGGAATTTCCTCACACTTGGTTTTTTACGTCTTGGTTGTTTCCACAATACTCTTATTGTTATATCATTCTTGGTTGTTAGTTCAATTTGAACACAAGAAGAATGGTGTGAGAGGGTCTTTGATGCAATGATTTATTGTCATTGTTGCATCTCCCTCCATTTGCATATTTCTCACACAATTCTTTAGAGTACAAATTTTTTTGTAACAAGTTTTGATCATCTTTAGGGTAGAGTGCAAAAAACCCCCCCGTTATATACATAATGTGAAATTACCTCCCTCATGTTCAAAAAATCCCCCTACATTTTCCACATCAAGCTAATTAAGACATTTTGTTAATTTGAAGATTGAAATACCTAAAATGCCCTTAAGTCAAAGTAAAAATAAAAAGTATCGATTTCATAAAACACTGATTATTAAGGGTATTTTGGGGTTTTAATAAAAAATTTTTTGTCAAAATTGACGTAAAAGGGCAAGTAGCACATATTTTCAAATGTTGGTGATTTATATGCACAAATACTAAATTGCAAGGTGTGTTTTGCACTTTACCCTTACCTTTATAAACTTATTTTATGATTCAGTCATTTATTTTTTCAAGTTGGTTAAGTTCATTTAGTCATCGGTCTAATGCGTTCTACTTCTTGGAGTTGTTTTTTGCCCTTTAGCCTTATCTTTACAAAACTTAGTTTCTGATTCTTCCATTTATTTTTTCGAGTTGGTTAAGTTCATTCAGTTGTCTTCTAGTTCTTTGATCTGCTGGCAACCTTTTCTTTTTTGCAACGTAAGCTGTTTAATTGAAAGGGCTAAAAGCCAACATATACACAGGGGGCGGGCATACCCCTCCTACCTCGACAAGCTACTACACCATTTTTATTTTTTTCCCCTGTTTTATGAGTTTCCTTCTTTTTTTCCTGCTAGTGCTCAAGGATAGAAGAACTTAAGGCTTGCTTAAAGATAATAGATTTCAATAATTTTAAGAAGTACACCTCAAATTAGAGCAGTTAATTTGTTGCAAGTCTCTATGAAAGTGACTATATCTATATGGCCTTTGTTCATAAAGATCTAACACTTTTATCTTTACTCATTTAATCTCTTTGGCTTTTTGGTGCTCTTAGGGGGAATTGTAACATTTTCGTAGTACCTTCTTTCTGTTCAAAATGATTTTCCCCCCTTCTTGTTTTTGTCTTCCTAAAAATATACTACTTCCAAGGAGGCTATGAACCTTTAATTAATCTTCGGAGATTATTATGGTTGCTTTTGAATGAATGCTTGTGCATTTTGAAAATGTTATGCTTGTTTTTATTTTGTAAAACACTAATATATTCTTTTTTCCTTGTTTCAGATTGAAGAAATAGAATGGTTGGCTGGTTCTTCTCTTGATTTTTCTTGGATAATTTGTATATGGGAGTTTCGGTTTGTTCACTCGTGGTTTTTGTATAGTAAATAACATTTGCGGTTTTAAAATTTTTGCTTAGTGTAGAAGTCTTCAAGGTTACAAATGTCTGGATTTAGCAAAATACCTGCACTTGTTTGTTTGGTTGAAAATGCTGCTGTTAAAAGTGGGTGGAAGAAGTTCAGGATGTGTTTTAATCATAAATTTGTTCTAACCATTCAATAATATTCATTTGTCACTTCCCTAGCTTGTTCAATGTTTCGTTTTTTTGTTAAAATCTACTTCTTTGCTTCTTAGGAGTAAATGATATATTGATCCAATTATTTACATTCAGATATATGAAATTGGTGGTGGATCAGGAAGTTTGATAATGTTTTTTTTAGTTGAATATGAATTACATAATGTTGAATGCACTTATGAGAGTTCAAAATAATATGACTGACTTACATGTATGTATTGTATGTGCATCAAACAATATAACCTTTTATTACTATGACATTGTAGACCTTGTAATGGCATCTTTAAAGATGTGAATAGGAAGGAACTGCTGGTGATAAGATCAGTTATAAACTTTTTATGTTGATGATGTTAAGATTGGGTAAGAACTGCTGGTGATAAGAGTACGTGATAAACTTTTTAAACACTATTCGGAAGCATGATCAATTTATAAACTTGAAAAAAGCAGAATTTCATTTTAGTATTTGTGTAATTTTTTCGTTCAGAAAATAGACGTAGGAAGACCAATCACAATTTAAATGGTTAATTTTATAATTTTATTTATGAATGGATCGCTAGAGACGTTATAAGGAAGTCTATTTCCTTTACTCTAATGAATTTCGTATATATTTGATATAATAAAACTAATGCTTTGGAATTAGTGCAAGAAAAAGTGTATATATGTGGCCGATATATATATATATAAAGTATACAGGAACAAAGTACAGTTTGTAGTTTTGGCTTATTTTAGAGCCAGTTTGGAATTGCTTCTCTACTACTTAAAAACCATTTTAAGTGTTTTGAATGGTTAACAAATTTAGTTTAATTATAAGTGTTTTGAAAGGTTAACAAATTTAGTTTAGTAGAGTGTTTGAATTCAGTTAAAATTTGCAGCTTTTAAAACTAGTTTATGAGTAGAGGTTGAATATTTAAGGTAACTTTCTTTCCTTAAATAATTGTCCTTTTAATTTTTTATAAAGATAATTACATCATTCCTTAATAAAGTTGATATTATCAAATATGGTAACATCATATTAAATGATATTATTGTAAAATTAGTAATAAAAGTGTTTTTTAAAAAATTATTACCAAATAAATTAAAATATAATTTAATTGTGAAAAATACTTATTATATTATGTCACCAAATATTTAACATGTTATTACTTATTATAATTTTTTGACAACTCCATTAATAAAAAAGAGCTTTTAAAACTACGGGCTCTAATATTATCATTAGTTTAAGGAGCCCATGTTCAGCAATTATTGGAGGGTTTTTAAGGGCATGCATTAGCCAATTTATAACTTTTAATAAATAATAACAAAAAAACGTATTCCTAGTACAAAATATATTTTTATAAGAGTAATGATAGGGAAATCGAAAAGGAATCACCGAAGACGTGATTGGTCATTTTTATCACGTGTTAAATAATTATTTTCGGAATACAAAAAGTGGTAACAATATTTTCCAAAACACTTCTATTGCTAATTTTATAATAATATCTTTTAATAAAATATTAACATATTTTATAATAGTTATTTTATTAAAAAGGAGTATAATTGTTTTATAATTATAAAAAATTAAAAAAATAATAAAGAGTTATCTAAAATATTCAACTTGTATTGAGTTTTAAAAGTTCCAAATCCTAATAGTTTCATTGAAAAATTTTACTGAGTTATATTTGGTAACCACTATAAATGTTTTTAATGATTACGAAATACATCTAAATGTAATTTTTTAAAAATAAAAGTATTTTTAAGGGGTGGAGAAGCGATCCTAAATGGACGTATTCCTACTCTGTTGCGGAGAAAGTGGCCTGGTACATATACATATACATATGCATAAACCGTTGCCTTCTGCATAAACCCTACCTGGCCGAGACAGATACAGCCCCAAGAGAATGGGAAGGACGATAAAACGAAAAAAGTTAGGGATTGAAGGTGACACGTCAAATCTTCCATATAAAATCATATACAATATATTCTTGAAATTACCAGTCAAGTCTCTCTTGCGATTCACACTACAACAAATAAGGGTTTTAATGACGAAATAATTTGTCACTAAAGCTTAAATTTTCGTCACTATATCTCTTTAGTGACGAAATAAGTTTCGTCACTAGGTCGTTGCTATATAATCGTCTCGGTTGATCTATAGTGACGAATTGTAGTTTCGTTACTAAATCTAGGCTTTTAGTGACGACACTTGTTTTGTCACTGATAGGTATACTTATAGTGATGAAACTGTTCGTCACAAGGTTGAGGACAAATACGATGCCGTATATGAATTAGTGACGATCAGTTGTTGTCAATATAGACTAGGTTGTGACCTTCTTTTGTCACTAAAGTCTTTTTGTGATTAATTTCTATATTATTAGCACCATTTGGTTTAGTCGTTAGATGGCCTTATAAGACTCAAATCTACTGTTCAATTAAATTTCTATACTATATTATATTCATTTCAACACAAAAATTGAAACAGTGTTGAATAAAACATCAAATATCATTACAAAATTGTATTACAATATTCGATTTGATTACAAAAGAGAACTACCCAATTGTACAATACAAATTCATACTAACAAGTAAAAAATAAACTCTCATTCCTAAAAAAAAAAAAAAACACACACACACACGCACAAAAGAACTCTCATGCCTTCATACTAGTCCTCTAAAATCTTAAAATTCTTCAAACTGTTTATGACTTTATGCACTTCGCCTTTGAATACAGTAATTCCACACCAAGTCACTCCAGAAGCTGCAACAAAATTGATTTTTTTTTAGTAAATGGAACAATGGGGACTGTGAAAGTCAAACTTAAAAATTAAATAATACTTTGTATTTTCTAAGCAATTAATCTTGATTAAAATGAATTCCTTAAAAGAGATGCATATTATCAACATGAAAAATGAAATAACAAATACAAAGAATTATTTATCTAAGTCATCATCTCAACAAGTTCTTGGAAGTAACCTCATTGTTAGGGCTGTCCATTGCTCGCATTGAATTTTACTTGGCACCAACTGAATTTCCTGAGAAACATCAAATATCTTAATTATTACTTCTGTAAAACAAACACTAAAGGAAAGAATATTTATCACACAATAGGCTTACATGAAAGGTAGTCATTCTTCAAACTGTTTATGACTTTATGCATTTCGCCTTTGAATACAATAATTCCACACCAAGTCACTCCAGAAGCTGCAACAAAATTGATTTTTTTTTAGTAAATGGAATAATGGGGACTGTGAAAGTCAAACTTAAAAATTAAATAATACTTTGTATTTTCTAAGCAATTAATCTTGATTAAAATGAATTCCTTAAAAGAGATGCATATTATCAACATGAAAAATGAAATAACAAATACAAAGAATTATTTATCTAAGTCATCATCTCAACAAGTTCTTGGAAGTAACCTCATTGTTAGGGCTGTCCATTGTTCACATTGAATTTCACTTAGCACCAACTGAATTTCCTGATAAACATCAAATATCTCAATTATTACTTCTGTAAAACAAACACTAAAGGAAAGAATATTTATCACACAATAGGCTCACATGAAAGGCAGTCCTAATCCAAATTCTTTAAATAAGCCAGTTATTGATAGAACACCAGAGGAATATATAACAAAAAGAATATATAACTTAGAAAAAAGATAAGAAGGAAATAAAACAAGAGAGATATACAAATGGCTAAACTAATCCAACAAAGATGAAACAAAAAAGCAAACTATCAGATGAAAGATTTGAAACCAAAAAATAAAATATACATCATCTGTAAATATCAGCTGACAAAAAAAAAAAAAAGAAAAAAAAAAAAAGCATAATTTTAAGAACCCGCTCCTACACACACATTCATTTAAACCCACAATATATACATATGAGAGAGAGAGAGAGAGAGAGAGAGTAAAGAAGCAATATATATATATATATATACATATATATATATATATTGACCACACTAACCTATTTTTTGTTTTCCTTAAAGTGATATGCACTTATGCAATGCCACAATTATGATGCTTGCCGGAATGGTAAGACTTAAACCAAAAACAAAAAAATTTAGTCAACTTAGAGATTTTGTTTCGTAATCACATTGTTTTCTAATTTATGTGAGAGTTTAGTTTGAGGACACAATGCCAGAAGCAAAAGACAAGGAAGCTCACCCAATAACAGTTAACCACCATTATGAACTAACTTGTGAAACCAAACCCATGCTACCACATCTGTAGATTAGAACAATGTATTTTGAGACCTTCAATAGGCATCAAAGTGTTCCCTTGCTCCATCCTAGAAAAAAAAGAAGAAGAGAGTAAATGCAATAAAAATAAGTTAAACTATTAAGAAGCGTAAGAAATACCAATGTACCTTATCATAGTGAGTATCAGTCATCATCACACACCATATGTGACATTTCACAAACTATATGTAAGGTCACATGAGAGAAGTTTCAATATAATAATAATAATAATTTAACTAAGTTTGGGTAGAGGGTATTCCCACTCCCACTCTTGTATATTAAAAGACTTAATACCCACTAACAAAATTGGCTTGAGCATACAATCTAAATGGCTCAATTAATAATACTACTTTAACCAATTGGATAACTATTTATTTTCCACTTATGGCCTAGTTCATCACTAGCTAAATCTAAAACAAAAATGATAATGGATAATTTTGTTGAGCAAAAAACCTTTTAATACTTAAAAGAACACATTGGATTTATACTCAAAATATATATACATATTAAATTACTCATAGTCAAATCTACTCTAATCTATGCTCTAGTGCGCTATTTTAGCTTTGATGGATTGCCCGTTCTTCTTGAATGGAATGAATCAATGAGAATGGACAGAGGGGAAAGGCAACTTAGAGATTCGTAACTAGTTGAAATTCTGACTTCTATATAAGCGATTATGTGTGAACGATTTCCTCGCTTTCTAGTTCGCTGATTGATTGAGGAGAAAAGTGGAATCAATTAAAATGCGTAGGCAAGAGAAAGACTTGAAAACATAAGATTTGGGGCAGCCATAGGTAGACTATGTATTGAGAAGTAGGGCTTCGGTAATGGGGGAAGATAGGGAGATAGAGAACATCAAAATTGCAGATTTAAATATATGACAAGATGTATAATTAGGGGGGCTTTCTTTGACAATCTAGGGTTTTACAACTATAAAACAAATTAAAACGTACCTCCAGAGTCCACATGCAACTCAGATTCGGCCATGCTAATTGATGGAGCTCAAATTCGGCCATCTTGAACACGTTTTCAGCCAGCAAAATTGAAGGCCTATCCATGGATTGGGAGCTTGAGGTTGGGCGATCACGAACGTTGTCGAACAGGTGACAGATATGGGTTACTTTATTCAGTGGGTGAAAAGTGGTTGAAAGGGAAGCCATTGAAATGGGTGGTAGCGAAGACTATGTTGGGGTAGATGGTGAGGGTTAGGGTTTACAGGAATCTTGTGAATGAAAAGCATATAATAGGGAAAAGACTAATACAACGCAGTTTGGTTTGATTTTTACTTATTCCTATATTATAAAATTGAAATATACCACATTATTAGAAACGACACAGTATTGCGCTAAAAATAGCAACGAAATATTTTTCGTCATTGAGTTCTTAAAGAAAAATCCCATGGAAAACTTTTTTGACAATGCGGGAATGCCAATCGAGTTTCCCACCGAGCTTTTAGCTACAAAATAATCATTTCGTCAATAAAAACTAATCTTTTTGGGATGAAATAATAGTTTGCCACTAAAAATACCATTATTAATGACAAAAGAAGCTTTGTCACTAAAACATCGTCACAAAAGGCCCAATTTGTTGTAGTGTCAGGTGCGTTTGTAAATCATGGCTTGAAGCAATTTCCGAACCCGAATTTGAGAGATCACATCTCAATGAATCAATTAAGTTGGAGCGTCAAAGTATCTTTTTCTGGGACAGAACCAAAGCCAAGTCCGAAGATTTAAACTATGTATGCTATGACTGCTGTGATGATTCAATGAAAAAACTATGCTTTCCACGTGAGAAGTATAGGAGGGCTACGGTGAACTGTTCTTGTAATGGTTTAGTACTGTTGTGGTTTAAAAAGATGTGTGTACTGTGGAATCCATCCACTAGAGCATACAAGAGGTTCTCATATAGTATATATGGCGATTATACACCACATGGACTTTGCTATGATTCCTCCATGGATGATTACAAGGTGTTGTTTCTTCGTGGGAATTTTTTTTGTGATTTTCAGTTTCAGAGGTCAATGCTGGACGGAGGTTAAGGAATGCCCTTATAATTTTTACGGTGATTTGACCATTGTTAATGGAGTGTTACACTCATTTGCTTTTAAGGTAGAGTCGCGCCGTAATGTGTTGCCTCACGTTCTACTAACATGGAGAATGGTTGGAAACTCTCGTCGTAATAAAAACAATGATCCACCAATTTGTATGTATGGTGATGCGGTTAATGCCTACAAACTTAGCCACCCCCAAGCTAATACGTCTCATATATATGACTGTGCTTATTTACTTTGATATGGTGGATGAGAAGTTCAAAGAGATGCCAACACCAAATTGTTTAAGCCGAGATAAGTTTGCATACGAGTTTGGTTTGACGGTTATGAGAGGATGCCTAAGTTTATATTATAGTACCACTGATGGGAACTATATTGAGGTGTGGACTATGAAGCAATATGGTGACCATAATTCTTGGACTAGGTTCATTGTCATCCCACGTTGGCTACATACAAAACATATTCATTCTTTGAAGCCATTGTGTGTAACGAAGAAAGGTGAGATTGTGATGACGTTTGATCATGTAAAGATATTCATCTATAATCCTAAAATTAACAGGTGCACTGGTCTTGGACGAATAAAGTTTCTAGATTCAGATTTGGTTTCATATGTGGATAGTTTCGTTTTGCCCATTCGTACTCCTTAAGGAAGGAAGAAAAAACAATTGTAATATCTATTCTTTTTTAAGCTTCTACTTATATTGTAAGCTAATTCATGTCTTTTGATTGTTATGTTTGATATTAGTTATTGAAAGAAATTTAAAATTTTCCTCTCGTGGGAAAAATTGGCGTAATTGTTATGTTATTGTTTTTGTTGTATTAATTAATTAGCATAGGCCAGATTTTTATCTTATTCTACCTAGGTTAGATTGTTATTTTTTCTTTTCTCTCATAATTGATACTATCATTTCTTTTTATTTTTGTCCTATTTATCCAAACAAAGCCTAAATAATTCAATTATCTTCATTCAAGCCTAAATTTTCAATTACATAGATATTGAACTAAAGCATTGTAGTTTTAAATTATGCAATTTTTTATGTTCTTTCAGAGGGATTAGTGAAGACAATGAAGGCATGCAATGGCAATTAATAGACATATATACATGTGTGTGTGTGTGTGTATATATATATATGTTTATATAGTAACTGAATGCATAGACCCTGACGTAGTTTATTTCTCATGCTGATCAGTTGACATTCTATTATTTTTTATACTTAATAATAAGTAGATGAGAGATTTTTTTTTTTTTTTTTTTCAGAATAATATCTCTCTCAATATACTCGTGAAAAAAATTTATGATCCGTAAATTGGACAATCAACTTACCACCATTTAATATTCCCATGACCAACATGCTGTACAAGTAAAGTAGCATACTATTTAATCGGGCATCCGCGTGTGTGCATATATATTATTCTTGATATAAAATTGCAATTATAAATAATATTTACAGTATGTGTTGAGTGAGAAGTATTAATCTTATTATGGTCTTTAAGGTTACTCCTTTTTCTTTATATTATATGTAAAATTAGAGCAATTAATTGGCACCAATTCAGGGACCATATTATGTATTTTTATAAGACGTTCAACTTATGATGGCCTCATATTACTTTTGGTACCAAGTGATTTGTTGTAAGTTATTCTTTTTTGCTCTTTAATAATAGAATGTAAGGTCAAAAGTATTTGAATCTCTTTTCTATGGTAACCGAAGTATATTTTTATTTTTGTTTTTATATTTTTTGTTAGCTAATTTCCAATTCTATTGGACTTGCTACCAAACATGATGGTTGAACAAGTTGGACTTGCTAGTGTTGAGGTTGAATGAGTGAATAACTATTATGTGTCTAATGAAGGAACTTGTTTTCCACTCACATCATGATGTGAAACGCTGCTCTGATGACGTCACATACGATCGTAAAAGAAACTTAGCTTATATTTATTTGGACGTAAAATATTTTTTACCAAACATGATGGTTAAACATGTTGGATTAGCTAGCGTTGAGGTTGAATGAGTGAATGACTATTATGTGTCTAATGAAGGAACTTGTTTTCCACTCACATCATGATGTGAGACCCTGCTCTGATGAGGTTGCATACAATCCTAAAAGAAACTTAGGTTATGTTTATTTGGACGTAAAATATTTTTTAAAAAATATTTTATTTTTATTTTTTGGTGTTTGGTTATCGTAAAATCTTTACGAAGAAAAAAAAAAAAAATAAAATTTAACAAAAATAACTCATTCATCAATTTTCGAAAAGTTATTCTACATACCCCGCCGATAGACTCGACCTCAACTTCGATATAGATTTTTGTCAAATATCGACAAAGTAAAAATAAAAGAATATTTTATCTAAAAAAAAAAAATATTTTACGTCGAAACAAAACCTTAATGTCACATACTGTTAGGAGATCCAAGTCTAATTGGATTTGAGCTAGAGTCATAATCTGATCTATTGACACATCTATATGAAAGTCATGCACAATTATATATATATGGACTTTGTTCATAAAGATCTCACACTTTTATCTTTACTCCTTTAATCTCTTTGAATATTTTGGTGCTCTTAGGAAGGGTTGTAACATTTTCCTATTACCTTGTTTCTGTTCAAAATGTTTTCTTAACTTATATACTGTAATACATTTTCAAGGAGGATATGGGCCTTCAATTAATCTTCGGAGATTATTAGGGTTGCTTTTGAATAAAAGCTTGTGGATAATCATACCACGGGCATTTAGAAAATGTTATGCTTGTTTTTTTATTAATTTTTTTATACACTAATATATATATATATTTTCATTGTTTCAGATTGAAGAAATAGAATGGTTTGCTGGTATATGATGTTTCGGTTTGTGGATTTTACATAGTAAAAAACGTATGCAGTTCTAAAATTTCTGGCTAGTGTAAAGCAGTACTCTTCAAGGTTTCAAATGTCTGGATTTGTCACGCTTCTTAGGAATTATATTAACAAAATACCTGCACTTGTTTGTTTGGAACTATTAAAAGTGGGTGGAGGAAGTTAAGGATGTTTTAATTAGAAATTTGATGAAATTGAACATATATGCCACATTATCAAACAAGTATGATTTTTCTGTGGGAACTGTTGTCTGCTAATTTTTTTCATGGGCAATAGCTTCATTGGTTGAAAAAATAAATAATCATAAAAAAATAGATTTATTGTTTGTTGCACTTGTGATTGCCTTTTGAAATGCTATGCTGAATATCTTGATACATATTTTTCATTCACAATTGAATTTTGATTTCGGCTAAAGCATCAAATTCACAAAGTTTCTTTTTGATCACTTTATCTTTAAATTATTTATAAAAAAAATAAGACTTGTGGGGTGGAATCCACACCTTAATTGCAGCCTTGAAAATGTTTTGGACTTAAATTATTTATAACTTAGGTCTAATTCCATAAACTAAAAAATAGATATGGATAAGCTTTTTTTAATTTTTTAATTTTTTAAATTTTATTTTTTTACTACAAGAGAAATATGTTGAGGTAACCCCCATAGTATGGATTTTTCAAATTGTTTATCAATATGTTGGATATTAGTTATTGAAAGATGTTGGATATTAGTTATTGAAAGAAATATACTGTATTTTTTTTAATTTTTTTTTTTGGTAGGAAAAATTGGCATAATTGTTATGTTATTGTTTTTATTGTGTTAATTAATTAGCATAATTAGAACAAATTTATCCTACTTCATAATAATCAGCTTTATGGGTAGCTAGATTCAATTATTCCCTAAACCTAATGCTCTATTATATATTTTTTTTAATCACCAGGAACTCACTTAGGCAGGGCCCCTTCGGGAGCCACCATAGGCTACAAATCTGGGGGTGCATAGCCTCGCCCCAAGGATACATTAGGTAAGTCTGAGAAATTGGAAGGCTTGGTAGGAGTCGAACACTGGCCGATTGGATGCCAGCCCCGAACCCCCACCATCACTTCCAAGCCCCCGGGGCACCTAATGCTCTATTTTGTTAATGAGAAAATGCAAGAAACCTAAAATTTTCATCATCCACACTCAAATCCTCATATACAAAGCTAATAATTCAGAGACAATTATTACATTTTAATTGAGATGAGTGTCACCATAAAATAAAAAAAAATGTCAACTTGCAACATTGACCAAAACCTCAATTAGAGTCGATGCAATTTACCCTAATTTTAAATTCTCTTATTCGTGCACTTCCAAGACATCATGTTATTATTTCTCTTTCAACCTACCCAAGTTGTGTTTTTGTAGGTTATATCTTTTTATTTTACCCTTTTCTTCAAATTACAATTTATCACAACAAAAGGGGTAAATTATACGAACCTCCCGTATAGTTTGCTATAATTACAGAAACCTCTATTATAGTTTGAAAAATTAATCAAACCTCCCTAAAAATAAATTGATGAATAGATGAAATTTTCATACATAATACCAAGTTGCAAATTTTAGATAGAAACTCTCCGGAGAAGCTGTTGCCAAAGATCAACAATTGCATTAGGTTGCGAGCGCTGACGACCGAAGGAAGAACAGAGCCTTCAAATTTGTTGTTATCAAGTTAAATGAGTTCAAGTTGAGAAATTTCAGAAACAAAATCGTATTTCCTCATATAGTTCATTATTGTATGTATGAAAATCGCAGTCCCATGAACCTTGCCTCAAATTCCCATCTCACTCACACACGCATATATATAAATACACAAATTAGAGAGAGAAACCGAGAGCCCAAGTTTAATATTGAACGTAATTATATATAATATATAATTATATATGTGTTATGAATTGTGATTGATAACAGCTTGGCAACCAAGTTTGATGGTTTAATAGTTCAAAGTTAAAAAAGAAACTGGGTCGATATGAACGGGTCACAATATCAAGCTCTTATTATTTAAATAGTAGTAAGTGATTCAAGTTTCTGCGTAGGCATGTGTGTGTAAGTACTAATTAGAAGAAAAAAAAAAAAAAAAAAAAAAAAATCGGAGACCATAGTTCAACAGTTCAAAGTAAAAAAAGAAATTGGGTCTGTGAAAAATTTCACGAATCTTGGATAAAAAAAATTATAGTAAAACTATTGTGGCTGGATTTGCTGAGCTTTTGCTAAATAATTACAGCGACCACAAGAGTTTATTTGACTGTTGCTGAGGTAAAGGTAGTGGAATTAATTTATCAAACAATAGAGAAGTTAACGTAATTATGACAAATCATAGATTTGGTTCATATAATTTAACCTAACAAAAGAGAAAAATACATATTTATACTCCTAAGTCCTGACACCTATTTTTAGCCCTAATCCTTTTGCCCAGAAAACGTCTGGAAGTGGGCCATGGAAAGTGAAACCAAACTCTCACGAACAGCTAAATCGCAGAGACTTCCAGACGATGTCTTATTCGACGAAATACTCTCAAGACTTCCCGTTCAGAATCTTATGCAATGCAGATGCGTATGCAAACCATGGCATTGTAAGATCTCCGATCCCCATTTCATCAAAACCCATCTCCACCGATCAACCGAATCACTCGACAGCCAAAGACTCATGGTCACACATCCCTCCAATGACCACTTTATCTCCCTTGACTGCAAATCTTTTTATGAATCGAAAAGGGTCGATTCGCCTTGGAAGACCTCGTACTCCTATGCCGAGGTATTGTGTTCTTGCAATGGTTTGTTTCTTTTGTGTTTTCATTTCACAGCCAATGAAGATTGTAGCAAGGATTTTGTTTTGTGGAATCCAAGTATTCGAAAGCATGTGATGTTTTCATGCCCTTATAATTCTATATATTCTGTTTCTAATGACAACCTTTATGGGCTGTGTTTTGATTCATCCACGAATGGTTATAAAGTGATTATCTTGTCGAAAGGTTTTGGAATTTTTGTGTGGGTGTTTGATTTGAAAACCCTTTCCTGGAAAGAGATAAGGGAGTTTTCTTTTTCAATTTCGTCTTGTGAGAATGGGGTTCTTGTGAATGGAGCTCTGCATTGGATTATGACTTATGAAGAGTGTTATCCTCCTGTGATTGTTTATTTTGATTTGATGGAGGAAAAGTTTAAGGAGGTGCCGAGTCCGGATTATGCGAGCAATAAAATCAGTTTGGTGGATTTGAAAGGATGGCTTGGGGTATATGGAGTGACTGATCAAACCCAAGTTGAAGTATGGGCAATGAGAGAATATGGGAAGAAGCAATCATGGAGTAAATTGATTACCTTCACGGCTATGATAGGAGGCCTCTTTTTACCCTCCTTGAAGCCTTTGTGTTTGACGAAAACAGGTGAAGTTTTGGTGGAAATTGGCAACAGGAAACTAGACAAGAAAATAGCAGCATACGATCCAAAAGAATGTATGTTCAAGTCTACAAAGTGCTTTTGGGACTTTCATAGGTTGGGAGCGGTTCCGTATGTGGAGAGTCTAGTTTTACTGAATAATGGCGATGACACTACTAAGGTGTGACACAGGAAAGTGAATGCAAATAGAGTATGCAGGAACGGGTAGAAGAGGAAATCATAAACTCTGTTCTTTGTTCAATTTTTCTCATTTCTAGTTGGTGTCTAATTGTATGTGTGGATTTGTTAGAAATTATTTTCACCACATTTCGGAAGGTTATGATAATTGCATGTCCAAATGGAATCAGGGTTGGCACATTTTGTCTCTAATTAATTGCATCTTGATGAAGTCCTCAATTTTACTTTCTGTGGATGAACCTTGCAGTGTCAACTAGCATTTCTTTTTTATCATTGTGATTCTTTACACTTCTGTTTATCTTCAAATGAAGTTGCCATTTAACTTTTGAAATACGAGTATCTCATGCATTACATCCTATAACTATGAGAAATGTTGGGTGTAAAAGCTTCAAGAATTAAGTAATATAACAATTGCTAGGCTAAAAAGTAACCAAGCTAATTGGAAGAGAGTTCTATGGTTGTATGGGACCATCGTGGGGATTCTTGATCAGAAAGACGGAATAAATGGGTATTGATCTGGTTTCAAACCTACTACATCTACTGGAGCAGGAAGCAATACAAGTGGAATGGTATAAAACTTAGATTTCTAAGGTTATAGATGACCATTTCTTCTTGGGTGTGATTTTTGATGATTTCATCGTCTAATGTTAAGCAAAGAAAAAACATTATGTTTCGGAATTCAATCTAGGCACGCGCTGCTATTTCTCCTTAGCGAAGGATTTCCTCTGACTTCTCGGTTTTTTTCCTTCTTGGTTGTTTCCTCAATACTCTTATTGTTATTTCATTCCTGGTTGTTAGTTCAATTTGACCAAAAGGGGAATGGTATAAGAGTGTCTTTGATGCAATGATTTATTCTCATCGTTGCATCTCCCGCCATCTGCATATTTCTCACATGATTCTTTACTGTACACGGTTTTCAATTATGCTGTAACAAGTTTTGATTATCTTTAGGGTAAAGTGCAAATACCTCCCTGGTGTTCAAAGACCACCTTACATTTTTCAAATTGAGCAAATAAGGGCATTTTGTCAATTTGAAGATTAAAATACCTAAAATATCCTTAAGACAAAAAAAAAAAAAAATCTGATTTCATAAAACACTGATTATTAAGAAGAGTATTTTGGGGTTTTAACTTATGCTGTATTTCATAAACAGTCATTATATCATTCTTGGTTGTTAGTTCAAGTTGAACACAACAATAATTGTATAAGAGTGTCCTTGATGCAATGATTTATTGCTATTGTTGCATCTCCCCCCTTTTGCATTTCTCTCACACAATTTTTAGAGTATATGGTTTTCAATTATGCTGTAGCAAGTTCTTATTATCTTTATAAACTCATTTTCTGATTCTTCCATTCATTATCTTGAATTGGTTAAATTCATTCAGTTGCTGGTTTAATGCATTATTTGTGATATCCTAGTTTCTAGATTTTATTTCTCCCGTTAATTGTCACCATTAGTTTATGATTGTCTAATTTAGATTATTTCGTACACGAGAGTTTGATTATAGATAATTAAGGTGGTAATGAAAAAGGATAATAGGATAAATGAAATGAGTTAAGGCAAGGGTTTAGTGGTTCGTTGGGTTTTGCCTTTGAAATAAAGATAAAGCAGGTGGGTAAGAGACCAAAAGGAAGCTTTGACTAGCTAATGTTCTGTGGGTAAGAGACCAAAAGGAAAAGAGAAAAAAAAAAAAAAAAAAAAAATCTCATAAACACACCGCATCACCTAAGACTTGGCCAGAGAACAGAGAGAGAACGAACGGAGAGATAGAACGAGAATAGAGTGAAAGAAGAAGAAGCAGCAGTAGCCGAAGGAGAAGAGGGAGACAAAGGAGAGAAAGAAAAAGAAAAAGGAAAAAGGGAAATTCATGGTGTAGGATCCCAAACCCTACATGTCCTTCAATGAATTATCTTATGTTTTCAAGAATTGAATTTTTTTTTAGAGGGTTTATGTTTGAGAAAAACATTGTTGTAGTTATAAAATTTTGTGGCCAAAACCCTGAAAATTTTGTTTAATATTTTTTTTTTTCTTAAATTGGACATAGCTTTGTGAGGGGAAAGGGGCCGAACACTATGGCTTTCGGATTACGTTTTCTGTAACTTCTTGTTTTTATTTGGTTATGAGATTTTGGGATATTAAACTACACTGAAAATCAAAACCATTGAATTTTGTTAAGCTTTGAGTGAGTTATAAGTTTTTATATTGGTGTAGCAGAGCTATGAAATTTCCATTTTCACAGTAGAAATCATTTCGTTTGTATGGCAGTAATAAATGAGTTTATGCCACTTCTATGGAGATTTCATGGCTGACATTACTTTCTATGTGTTGGTTATATTTTGGCTTTGGTTTTGCTCAATTTGAGTTAATATTGGATTTTATATGAATTTTTGAATGAAAACTAGTTTTGCTGAAAGTTTGTTTGGACAGCTGCACTTTAGTAAATTTTCTGACCTGTTACTTGTTGGATTTTTTAGGATATTATTTGATTATATGAAAATAGACCTATAGAGGATTCTATAGAATTTTGATTCACCCCATTTGAGTTAGTATCCTATTTTCTACAAATTTTTGAAGATAGGAACACTATCTGTTTTGTAAACTGTTAGGGCAGAATTTATCCACTGCTTCTTGATACTTTTTGACTTGATTCATGTGTGTTTCTTGTAATTTTGATTGCTAGTACTACAGTATATTCAGCAAGTTTCCGATTAGCTTTGATTCATGAGAATTGGGTTAAAATCCTATTTTTGGCAAATTTTTATAGTTGATATGTATTTACTGTTCATTGCTACTGTTTTTAGAAGAATCGAATGTAATACCCCAATATTTTAAAGGTATTATTTATTGGGATTAATGATTTTATTTTTTATTTAAAATAGTTTGTTTGATTTATTTAGAATTAATCGCTTTTATTTTTATTTTTAAATGATTTGTTTCAGTTAATTGAGTGTTATGATTTAATGGTCTTGTTTGTATTAATTTATATTTCATGATTATGTATGATGATTGATTGTTTGTGTGCGTAATTATTGATTTAATTATTGACGTGTTAATTTTATTAGTATGGTGTAAATTCTTGTTTGTTTATGTGTTTCATGTAATTAGTTATTTTAATATAAGTGTTTATTTAATTATTTTATTTATTTAGATTAATTGGTTTGGGCTTAAGGGAAGTTGGAACAAAGGATATGGTTTTGGGCTGGAATGAAACCTTATTAGGTTAATTATTAAAGGCCCATAGTTATTTTATTATTTAAATGATCAGTTTTGGTATAATTATAAATATATATATTTAATTATATATAAAAATATAATTAATTAATAAGTTTTACGGAAGGATATATATATATGATATATGATTTAATTAACCAATGGTTAATTATGGGAGATATATATATGTATTTGTGATATAATATGTGTTTATATATATTATATTATTTAAAGAGTATTAATTTTTATTATTTTATTATTTTTGGTAGTCCTACTAGGAATATGATTTAGGTTTTAATGTGTATAAATATACACATAAGGATTTAAGGTTAAAGGTTTACATACGTTAGAAAAATAAGAGAGAGAGAGAGAGATAAGGAAAAGGCCGACAAAGAGGAGGCCGAATCTGCGAAGGAGGACGTTGAGATTGGAAGAGACAATCAAAGCTTGAACCGTCGGTTTCGTTTCGAAACCTTCAGGCAAGTTCATTTCTAACTCTCCTCTTAGGACCCATAAGTTTATCACCTTGAGTATCAGAATTTTAAATTAAATTTATTAATTAAATCATAATTAGATAGGAATAATTTAAAAAAAAACATAAATTATTATATTTGATTTGTTGATCTATAGGTGGATCTGTGATCCACGAGGGTTTATTAGGGTTTCATTATTTTTTTGTAATGTTCCTGGAATTTTTATGACATTTTTAGGAATTTATTAGAATTTATTTTCCAATTATTTGTTTGGTAAATTATATATATATATATATATATATATATATATATATGTATGTATATATGTATTCTATATTTATATATACTGGGAGGGTGTGTTTCGGCGGATTAGAAGGGGCTTCTGATTTAGTGTAGCGTGGCGTAGCATAGGTTGGTGTGCGTGTCAATCAAAGCCATTAACAAAATGGATTGATTCAATGTAGTGCGGCGCATGGAGTTTTGGTGCGCCTCAGGTCAGAGACCATTGGATGAGGTTTGATCAAAGAAAGGGATCTAGTGTGGTGCGGATCACAGGGATATGGTACGTGCAAGAATTGAATGGCTGAGATGCGCTGATGGGGAGTGGCTGATCCGGTGCAGGTGAGCTCATACAGCAGAGAGGAGGGTAGCTAACCAGAGTGCGCCACATCAGCAAGAAGGAGAAGCTAGCGCGTGTACAGCGCGTGTGAGTGCGTGAAGCCACCTATCAGTATAGGGAAGCGCGTGGAAGCGTGTGCAAATAAATTGGGTGCTTATGGAGGTGCGTGGAGAAGCGTGCAGGGTCCTGAAAAGTTCCTGTGCAGTCCGGTGATGTCCCAGAATCAATTTTAAGCTTGTTAGGGTTGAAATTAACCATTAGAGGGTGTGTTCTTGGTATTCGGAGAGCCTTAGAGTGTTACTAAGATGTTTAGTAGCGTTTGATTGGCGGAAATATAATTAATTGAATATTTTGCCTTGGAAGGAGGTGTATGTATATATACACACACGCGCACACACACACACACACACACACACACATATATATATATTTATATATACGTATATATATGATTTTAAATAATCAAATATTATTAAGGAATGTGTTATACATATATATATATATTAAATAAATATGTGTATATGTATATATTAGGTAAGATGGTTAGTATTACCATTCTTGTTTTGCTGTTTTTTGATTGGCTCGTTATTAAATTAACGATATGCGTATAATATGCATAAGATGGCTATGTATGAATTAGCTTGTTGTCAAATTGAAAGTTAATACATGGTGGAATTGTAGGCATG